AACCTTGTTGAAATGTTGTACATTTGCTGTAATGTTAAACTTATATTAAAGTTTTTCTTCATTACCCATTCAAGCCGTCTCCAACCATTATTGATTTCCACTGAGTTCAGGTTTAGTTCGATACGTGATTTCTTAATGCAAAAATTCTTTATGCAACGAAATGACATATCACTGCATTGGTGATTACTGTAAAATTTTCTAATGAAAGAAATAGTGCCTTGATAATGTATTTAGCATATAGCAGCATAAGAGTAGGTTCCCTGACGTATTTAACGTATAGCAGTATCGCAATATATTCTCTGACGTATGTAGGGTATAGCAGTATTGCAGTATGTTCCCTGCTATTAGCGTTTGCTAAAATATTTTTGATATTGTGCTAAAAATCTAAAAAACTCGCATAAACCAATAACAATAATCATAAAAGTGTTTATACCCTGCATTTGCGCAAAGATGTACTGAATCGCCAATGCATGATGACTACCATGGACTAATGGATTATTTTACTACAAACACTTGGAAACTATAACTAAACAGTACAATACTATTTACCATGTTGGGATATACTAGGATAGTAGTTAAGGGTAGAGGCTACTACTAATTTCTGTATACCTTGCTAAGATTATACAGGGAGTGGTGGAGGTTTGGAGAGAGGAGTTCATCACACTACTGACAGGCTATGACACGTACTATTTTACTAATGTGTTCGAGGTTCATTTGGTTTTTGGTGAGAAAAGGTTAAAAATTATCAGCTTTGAGATATCCAAAACAGGATACTGAGGAAAAAGCTTAGAGTGAAAAAAACCTATTTAGGTTGTGGAAGAACTGATTCTAATGTATAGGAACAGTTAAGGAAGAAACGACGTAAACTGTTGGAGGTATTTTTCTTGGGGACTTGGGAGTAAATTCACATGATGGGTTTTAGTAGGAAATGGATAAATCTACCAAGGATGCGTTTTCAACGCTGAGAAAAACATCTAAGAATTGAAGTACTTTGTACTGATCCACTACAAAACTACAGAGGATAAACAACAATAACACGAGGTTTGAGAAAAAGCTGGACCAGTCTGAGTTACATGATAAAGAACTATACAGTAATAATTTTCAAAGTAGGAATAAACTACACAAAAACTGGGCATTCCTGGATAGAGGAAGGGCAAGGTTTAAATCTATGGTCAGAGATTCATTCATATACCTAAGAGACTATTGCTACTGATAAGGAGTTGAAGGGGATTATAAGATGACATGCTGCTTTTTCATCTGTCTGTACTCACATCTGTGATGTGCATCTCTTCACTATCATCCACGCCTGAGATATCTGTTTTACCCTGAGACACGAAGTGGTAGTCGTGGATATTGTTGGAGAGAAGACATTTCTCTGGAAAAAGGGTGCAAATAAGGGATTTTCTTTCTCTTGAACCGGTTAGAGAATGCAAAGAAACTTAGGAATTCTGGTCAGGCATTAGTTACACGAAAGGCTTTACATAACACATCGACACCTTTTGTATCCTTCGAAAATAAGGTGATACCATTTACAGCCTGGGATATTAAATGTCACAAGTCACCAATTAAATTTGACCAATATGTTTCGACTATTATACAACATTTTGACATTTTATATCTTTCATAGGTGGATCCCAGATATGTTTAACCACATAAGACACATAAAAGATATGGATTCTACAAACAAATGATTCTAACATGAGCTATGATTTACGTGCATATAAGTATCGATTATTCATGAAAACAAAAAACACGAATATTGGAATGCTTGCTAAATTTGTGGGTTTTGTGAGTTTATAACGAATTTGATCATTAATAAAATATTTACTATTGAAGTGGGATTTTACAGAACTGACAAGAAATACTTGAGAATATTTCTTGGATTTCGATGTTCAACCGTATAGTCATTCTTAAAGCGATGATGAATGAAAAGAAAATAACGTGGACTTTTCAGAAAACTCAACACTTCAACAAGACACCAACTCGGGTGTGTGTTGGTCAAGGAAATTTAATCAAAACTGTTGAAAAAGGTATTAATAAAACCTTTTCTTTTAACAGGAATCACGTGGCTATAAAGATGTCATTATGGGAAATATCTATAAGATAATTCCTTAATATCTGATATTCATTGATATAACTCTCGCAAAATCGGGTAAGAATCCGAGGTAAGTTTGAAGACTCGTATCACATCATTGTAGCTTAATGAACAAAATATTGAAAACATGTAAACAAAGAAACGATAGCAGGTTTTTACCTTAATAATTTTTTTCGGTTAAGTTTATTTCCGACGAGTGGTATGGTTTGTGGTAATCAGATAAGTTAACCAACAGCTGTAAAAATTTTTATTTTTACTACTTATACATATGTGTGTATAAGTATATCTAATATGCATTATTTGAACATCTGGTCACAAATTTCACAACTATAGTAAGTTTTATTAAAACAGGGTATAATGGGGTGGGACTCAATGATTTAGATTAAACGAAATGGTTACTAACTTCTACTGGATATTGACATAAAACTCAATAACATAAGGATGTTGGGCAGGAGTTATGGTTTACTTTTTGTTTTTTCTACCGTGTAATGGATTTTTTTTTCGGATTTGTTGAGGAACTAATGGGTAGAATCATGGAAGGTGACGGGAAGGTGACGGCAGGTATCACACAAACCTCAAAGCGTCTCGCTTTGAGATCAGGGGGAATTATTAACTCACGTCAATTAGGCGTGTATGTGTATGTCCTCTCCATCATCAACGTAGAGGATATCGAAAGACTCGCTCCAAAACGAAACGGTAGCCAGAGACCTTGTTGCCCAGGCCCATATTTTCTGGTTAAAGAACACATATATTGCTATCAACATATTTAAATCGACTGAGTGCTGATTCAAATATCTTTGAGCTATTTTCTGTTTTCTGTGTTAGACTCATTTTGACTGTTTTTATTCATCATATTGAGTAACTGATATTCAATTATGAAAATATATTCTCAACCTACATTTGTTTCAAAATGGAATTCAAAACGTCGCAGCGCCATGGCGAACCCTTCTCGGAAAACAAAGTGTTGCCTAGTAATTACTAGTAAATTAGAGAATATATACAGCTCAGTATTATACATATTTTTGCATCACAAAATTAACAAATTCAATTCTTCTCAAATAAAATGCGCAATTTTTAGTAATAAATTTATAAGCATGTATGAACAAAATTTAATACCAACAAATGTTTATGTTAGAAATTAAACTCTTTTATGTCAAAGGGCAATTTTTTTTACCATTTTATAAAAATTAAACTTATGAAAGTCTAACAAGTTTAGTGTTTATTCACTGTATTTAAAAGATGTATCATGTTATGTGAATGCGAAATTTTAAACCATTTTATATGATATTTGAGCTCTGAAATTGAAATTATTTCTACCAGAGATCAGTAGTTTAACAGTTTACTTATTTCTTCACATATTTTCCCCGATATCTGTGTTTACTTATTTTCCTTATGATTAAATAAAAATCCCAGAAAAAAATTAAAACTAGGAATATTAATGGTTAATAATAAATAGGTGTTCATTAAAATATTCAACTGAAGTTTTCGTTTTGTGATTTTGTTTATTTTTCCTGTTGAACAAAACCATAAGCAATTTCAATATAAAAGTTTATAGAGTGCTTCTGCTTTCATTTTTATAGTACAAAAACTCGTGATACAGCCCAAAACACTGTTTTATATTAAGAAGCAAAGCAGAATCAACTGATATTAAACAACTTAAATAATAATTTTGACCAGATTAAAGATAAAATAACTGTATCATTTTCATGTGATTTAGAATATAAAAGACTTAAGATTACAAGCATAAATTTGTAAAGTAGCAAAGTAAAATGAATAAAGAAGAAGAAGATTTACCTTTGAGATCTGGAATACGGCCTGACATTATTTGGTAGAATATGTGATAGGACCTTTCTTGGGGCTGCTGGGAAATAACACGGGCTTTCTCGAGCAGATCTGGGTTGTTGAAAGTTATCAAATAAAACAGTTTCTTTAGAAGAAAAAGGCTTAAGATGCATAAATGTATATTTTTACAATTAAGTATAACCTTGAAAACCATTTAACAATTATTACTTCTATGTTTAAAATTCAAAATCATTATTTTTAAGCTACAAAATAAATACTTTTAAGTGGAAGAATTGAGCAAATATAATATCTGTAATGAAGTAACGTGTAATTTTCGTAACAATTGAATTGAACTTGAGCTAAATACTTCCCAACGGAAAGTGCATTTATCGACAAATAAAATGAAAATCGAGGTTTTATGTTTTTTGTAAGTTTCTATTTTTCCGGTATTAGGATTTCAATAAGATTTAATGAAACTCACATGTCTCAATGTCAGCTCCTGCTAGTTTCCCCATGGGTCCAAAATGAATTCGAATGAATTTACCCTGGTAAGGAAAAAAACGAGTATGAAAACAACCAGAAAGGCTGCTAAATCTAAAAATATATAAAAACACACTCCTATAGAAATAAGAAGATTGTGTACGGATTAGTCAAAGCAAACTGTTAGCATTTTATGTGCGACTAAATATACTTGAAATGTTGAATATATGAACTTTTTCTCAATATAAACCATATTTTAATTGTACATAAAAGAAGCAGAGATCTGATGTAACTTTAAATAAAACTTAATAAAAAACAGTAAAATGTATTTGTTTGTTGTATTATCGCAAAGCTTCTTCAGGGTTATCTCTCCATAACTTAGAAGTGATATACTAGAAGAATGGTAGCTAGTCAACGCTACAAGCTCGTGGGATACTCTAATTTAATAGTGGGATTATAACGCCCCACGACTTAAAAGTTGAGTACGTTCTGTGATAAGATTCGAACCCGCGACACATAGATTGCAAGTTGAGCGCCCTAACCATCAGGTTATGACAGTGAACAAATATATGTATCTAGTCAAGTCATAAACACGAGAATTTTATGTTAAAAAAAAGACTTAGTAACTTTTTAGAGTCGCAAGCTGTTAAATGGATTAGATGATATTGGCTGGAGTTGGGTCTTTGAGTAATGTTTGTTTTTAAGCGCAAAGTTACGCAATGAAATACCTGTGTTCTGTCAACTGCGGGTAGCAAAACCGGAATTTTAATGCTATAAGCCTTCAGACATAGCGCTGAGCCAACCTAATGGATAAATATGTGCATCTCACTACTTAACCCTGTTTCCGTGATTCTGGTCAATATGACAAGACTGTTAAATTCAACGTATTTAAACACCCACTGATCGAACCTACTTTTACCTTTAGTGTCTCTCTTGGTTAACAAACAGTACTATCTAATTTACTCTGCAGTATTAAGCTCTCGGACCTAAAATTACTCTGTAAATTTTCGTCAATGTAACACATTCCACTCAAATTTCTCAAATTGAATTAAAACACATTAGTTATGAAAGAAATATTATTAACATTTTGAATTTTGAATCAGTGATAAAGAATAGATTTTATTAGCTACTCACAAAACGGGAGGAGTTGTCGTTTCGAACAGTTTTGGCGTTACCAAAAGCTTCCAGTACCGGATTAGTCTGAACGACTTGATCTTCCAGATTACCCTTATGGAGATAAATATGTGAAATAAGATTTAGTTTAACTTGAAAACATCTTGTAATTCTATGTGAGATCAGATTTACTATTACAACAGACTGAATACTAAAAACTATTGGCTACTCTGATTATTGGAATTATCTCAAGTTTATTATAACCTGTTAGATATAGCTTAAACATTATACAGGCTTTTTTTTTTTCAATTATCAAGATAACTTAGCTCAACATGGGCCAATCTGATTAATGTATTTAAGAGCGTTAAATAAGTATGCGTTTTACACGTTTATTTGTGTTAAAGTATAACCATGTTGAGGTTATAATCGTTAAACTGTAATTATATATAACAAAGTGGTTAAATTTTATACAATAGAAAATAAGAATTAGAGCAATACTATTATTTCTCACTTATTCAGTTATATATCCATTCATTAAAAGCGAAGCATAATGAAAATTAGTCTCCATATTTGATATTTTCAAAATAAAAGACTTTAACTAAATACGTCTAAGTCGGTGTTTAAATTAGTCTATCGTCCATTCCGATTTGGGTTTAATTTACCCGACTAACTATTTTTACGGTAA